GTAAGGTAGAGGAGTGTCTATCAGGGCCCAGGCCCAATGATTATCCTTGCGTGACTCATTGGGCAAAAGCTGGGGCCCAGGCAAGGCTGCTGGAGGTGCTGCTTGATGTGGGGGAGAAGGTGATGGAGAAGTACTTGCCCTGCCTCCCTCTTCTTACATCCTCGTCATCAGCATCTTTCTTGGGTCAGTCCCCTCAGAAATCAGCTGGAAAACATGTTTTGTTTTCTTTTAAAGTTTGTTTTGTCTGAGTCAATATAGCCACCTCAGCTTCCTTATAGTGGCTGCTTGCATGACATGTACTTCCATCTTTTTAATTTCAGCCAATGTGTGTCTCTGAATCTAGAGTATGCTATTTGAAACCAGGTTGATGGCACCCAGCACCCAGGAGGTACAAACCAGAGGATCACTAGTTGAAGACCCATCTGGGCTACGTTGCAAGTTCTGCTTCAGCATATGAGCTGTAGTATAAGACCTAAGAAAAAAATGACAACATAGTTGAACTTTATTTTCTCATCTAATCTGACAAATTCTGCTTTCTGGATACATTGTTTAATCCATTCATACTTAATGTTTTTACTTATAGAGTTCGGCTTGTCAGCCATTTTAATTTTGCTTTACCTAGATCTTGTGTCTATTTTGCTCCTGGTTTAGTATACAAAAGGACACATTATAAATTTTTGGTTTGTGCTTGGGAGTATAAGATGTAATGATTTAACATTTCACTCTCTTTCAAGGTCTCCACCACAGGCAACTCAAAACCTCCTCCATACCTTGCAGGCTCTGGTGATCTGCTCTGAGAGGGAGAACAGAAAGGAAAGCCATGGGCATTGTCTACCCTTGGCAGAGGACGAGAAGTGGGAGAATTCAAACCAGGTCAGCACACTATAAACCCAGCCAATAAGAATCCATGATTCAACATAGCAGGTCCAGGAAGTCTGGCTATCAATATGAGAACCAGGCTGCCTTTCAGGAATTCAGACCCAGAGACCAGGCCCATGGTGCAGGAAGTGTGCAAAGTGATGTTGAAAATAAGGTTGGGTGTGGACATCCCATCTCAGATAGGAAATTTCAGACAGAGGGACCATGGAAGCAAAGACAGGTATCAGGCCACAGGCCGGGAGCTTGGACAGACACAGTGAACAGAGCGTTTACTGTGTAGCAACAGTTACCACATCCCCTGCAGAGTTCAGCAAGTATTCAGGAAGCAGAGATGAGCCTCCTGCTTCCTTCCCTCAGGGCAAATAACCAAATGTAACATATATTTTACAGGGCAGGAGGTTTTGTACTCCCTCCAGTGGAATTAAAGTTCCTGGATCAGGTTCATAGTGTCCTTTTGTCAGATCATGTTTCAGATGGTCCATTTTAGGTCTTGAACTCTCCCTGACACTTTACATTATTTTTTCTCCAATTTTTTACTACACTAAGCAAATAATAAAACAGATGAGGTTCAGGTCTCCATCCATCACTCATTAACCGTAGTTTCATAAAACTGGAGGGACCATTGCTTCCTACATTCCCAAGGAATTCAACCATCCACTTCCTTATGCCTTCCACCTTCTACCTCCAACGCCCTTTCCTCTAATCCTTGTTTAATGTTTCTTTTTTGTTTTCTATAATAAAAGAAATATGTATGTATGTGAATATGTACATGCACATGTGCACACACACACAATGAAAAAAATCCACCAGCTATGCTGATGCTAAATTGTGACATACACACTAAACCCTGTCTTCCAAGACTGTCCCCTTCGTCCTGTCCACAAACCTCACCTGGTTAATCTGGAGGTCTTAATGATGTACAGCACTTCATGCCCCATGTATCCACTTTATAATATTGTGAATCCTTTTTCCACTCTGCCAGATCACCTCTGTTGTCATTTACAACAAGCCTGTGCTTTTCAGGAAGAGGGCAATAGGCCACAGTGGGAGGATTTGGATGGCACCTTGCTGCCGGGAGCCGTGAGGAATGGTTTTTTGGGCTGACTGTGGTCCTCCCTTCTAGAGTGAGAGCTGTCCTTCTGGTCCTTGTGGACAGAGGTGGGCAGATCTAAGGACAATTCCCTTGTCATTCAGATACAAACTTCTGAGGTCTCTGAATGGATGCAGGTCACAGCGGGGCTATCTGTTGAGATTAAGGCATCATATCCTTGACCACCTTCCCTGAGAAATGGCCCCATCATAAAGGGAGATCAAAACACATGGCCTCCCCCAGTTGTGGCTGCCAAACAATCCTTTACCTTAGATCAGTCACCCAGAATCTGATAGGCCGTCTCTGCTTGAATATGGAAGTGCTCAAGCCAACCTGTGCCCTGGGAGCAGTTATCATGTACTGGAATCCCAAGGGAGAAGCAGCATATCTGGAAGGGTTCTGGTGGTTCTCATGTGGTTCCCTAGTCAGGGTCCACTGTCAAGCAGAGCTCCTGGGACTTAGGGATGAGAGGTTCCCATGGTACCTCAGCTCTTGCTGACGTATCTTCCCAACACACCTGTGACTCAGAGGAGTCACCATGATCCCTCTGACTGCTGCACACTCTGTGTCATAGCCTCCGTATCCCAGGACATTTCTTTCTTCAGGATCAGAAAAACTCACTGGGAGTCCATGGACAAGGGGAAACCACCCCTAACCTGGAATGGCCCAATGAGGACAAGATGCCCAATGTTGCCGGAAGTAAGGCATCATCTTGTCTGGCTCAGCTCCACTCCTGGGGTCTGAGGTAAGGATGAGTGTTTCTGAATCTATAGAGCACCTGCTCAAGGACACTTTTTAGCTCACTTCTATCACATACTTGACCAGTCAGTACCAGAGGTGAGGAATTGTGACCTACCAGGTATTTTAGCAAACAGACTTCAGGCTTCTCTGATGTGTCTGTTGCCACGGTTACAATTGTGGTTGCTTAGTCAGCTCTTCTAGTGATGGAAGACATCACTATCTAATGGCTTCCTATCAGGACAGAAAACCTGGTGCCCAGAGAGAAGGGTGTGACAGACACAAGGGAAACCTTCCAACGGTGTTGTATTTCCACATTTGGGACCCTTGGTAATACCAATCCCACATGACTGGTATCTTTAGAAGAAGGGACTAGGACATATACCATGACATAGGACACATGGAGTGACGACCATGTGAGTGAGACATCTGCAAGCCAAAAGGTGGGTTCAGAAGGGGCTGACTCTGTCAGCGTTGGAACTGAGACTCCTGCCTTACTTTCCACTGTTAGAACCTACTAGTCTGCGGTGCTTCTTGTAGCAACCTGAGTAGGCTATACTGGAAATCCTCTTTGGTTACCTCTAGTGAGTGGCTCTACTTGGAACTTTGATGTATTTAGTGGCTCACTGAGTAATAGGTGCTCATTTAGCTACCACAAGCTGTACTCATCTTCCTTTCCGCATTTCTAAAGTCACCTACCCCTGCCCCTCAACCTTCTAACCACGGATGCTGGAGGCAGCCCTGTTCACCACCTTTGCAGGCCCCTGTGGGTGTGGTCACAGTGGTGACCTTACCTGAGGACACAGAGGTGACAAGGACTGACAAGGACAATGTCCTGCAGGGCCCTGCTGGTGGGGTTCTTTTCCTGTCCCCACCCACACAAGCTGCTTAAAACTTGCTTTCTAGTCTCCTCCCTCTCCATCTCTGCCTGTGAGCCCCCTCCCTCTCCATCTCTGCCTGGGAGCCCCCTCCCTCTCCATCTCTGTCTGGGAGATCCCTCCCTCTCCATCTCTGCCTGGGAGACCCCTCCCTCTCCATCTCTGCCTGTGAGGCACTGTGCTCTCAGGATAACCATAACACTGAATGAGGAGAGCAGAGCCTGGAGGGTGATTTCATGGACAGATCTTAGACCTGGCAGGTTATATTTGCAGTCTTCCAGGTCTGGACACAGAGATGTAGAGAAACAAATGTCCTCTACTTTCCAGTGAGTCACAGGTGTGGCTAGAAGAAGAGTAGGATAGTCTATCTCAGGTAAGGCATCACTACACATCTCTAGTCTCGGAAGCTGTCACTAACCATGTGGCCAAAGGCTGTGACAGCAGCCATCCCTGACACCATGTGACCTTTTCATGTTTCCTGATAGCACAAATATGTTGCTTACTGTCTTTGTCTTAAAAATAAGAAGTCAGCCGGGCATTGGTGGGGCACACCTTTAATCTCAGCACTCGGGAGGCAGAGGCAGGCAGATCTCTGAATTCCAGACCAGACTGGACTACAAGAGCAAGTTCCAGGACAACCTCCAAAGTCACAGAGAACCCTGACTTGAAAAAAAAAGAAGTCAGCATCTGGGGAGACCATAGTGTCCCACAGTTCACGTAACTGCACATATCTCTGCCATGACATCTTCCTTTTAACAGACTCCTGGGAAGCTCAACCCCCCACACATGGACTTTGGGGAGAGATGGCTCCCTAGGCCCATGAGTGCAGGAGATTCTTTTCCAGGCAGCATGCTTTGGCCTTTACTGAACTTCCATGCCTGTCCCCATCAGGTCTTGGATCTGGGTCTTCAGGAGACCATTCTGCCCTGTTGTCTGCAGGCTTTGGCTGGCAGGCATCTGAGCCCAGCCAGTTCTGACAGACTCCCAGGGTAGGCTCCCATATCCATCTTCTAGCAAAAAACAGAGAATATGAATGTTTTCCCCACATGCAGGCTGGGCGAGCCGAAGAACACAAGTGGCCACTACTGAGAACAGACCCTTCTCTTACCCAAGGTGCTAAAGTCATAGTTTTTCTGGGGACATTTGGTGACTTATCTGAAGGGCTAGCATGGTCTGGACAAATTCATGAACCTTGAGGCTCCTCACGTACTCTGGTACCCCTAATGTGGGGGTTCTGGAATTGCCCATGATATATGTCAGTGCCACCTGTCCTAGGGCCCCAGGGGCTCCAGATAGCCAGCTGTGGTCCAGTGAGGATGCGTCCAGCCCTGGCTCTGTGTCTGCACTCTTAGTACTCCCAGATGGACCTGTGCAGAGAGTCCCCGTTACAGAGATAGACAGCACTCTGAATAGGATGGCTTTTCTTCCAGGCCTTTATTTCAGAGGTGAGAAACTTGGCAGATGCGTTGAACCTCCCGAGCTGACTTTAAGATAGTGAAAAGGGATGTTAATCTGATCTTTAAAACCATGTGGTCCTTTTTGAAGTCAGCGATTCCAAACATGAAAGGAAGTGTCAGCTAGCCTTGAGGAAGCGAGTTTTCCTGTCCATGGCTTGGTCCTTCAGGGAATCAAATACCTTGAGCTGCAGAGAATAACCCTGAAAAATGCCCAGCAAGGAAAATACTTGGACCCCATCCTACAGTTGCAAGGAAATTGAATTCTGCCAGCAACCACTGAGTGTTGAAGGCTATGGAGCACCAGAAGGGAAAGCATGTTGACCTACACCTTGACTTTAGCCTCCTGAGACTCTCAGGACTCCCCTTGCCAAGACTTCTCACCTACGAGAAGCTGGGATAATATAGATGTTTTATTCTACGGAGTTCATGGTAATTTGCAATGCAGCAACAGGAAACTAGAATAATTCTCATCCCCACCCCCTACCTTGCCACCATGGCCAGACTTTTAACTTCCTTTTGCTCTGGGTCTCACCATGAATTCTCTATTTTAAGAGATGTCAGTTTGTAACAGTGTAGCTCAGGATGGCCTCGAACTCTTGCTCCATCTGCTCAAAACTCTTGAGTGCTGAGCTAACAGGTCTCACTATACATAATCATACATAGCCTAATTAATATTTTAATAGTTAGATAATATGTATAATATTTAAATATTATGGTGTCCAGTGCAAAAGTCCAGGATAACAATGAAATCAGGATAAGTAGCATTCCCATACCCTAAGACATTTATCATTTTTATGTGATAAGGAATTTGGAGCCATCTAGTATTTTGAAATATGAGTTGTTGTGCCCATGTTTATCCCACTGAGTTCTTTAGGAACACTAGGACTAACTTTTGTTTACCTACATTTTGGTACCTGCTGATTGGTCTAGTCCTGCGTTCATCTTCCTTCCTCTCTCTGAGCATCAAGCCACTGGGATGAGGATGTCACTAGGCCTTGACAGCCACTTAACCTCTTCAGGGTTGTCCCTCTGACTAGAGACCTAAGTGAACTGGAGGAAACAGCAGGTTTAGGCCTTCTTGACACACCTCCAGAGGACTCTGCTCCTACGCCTCTGTGTCTTGTTGCTTCAAGTCATTTATTGGAGCATAAAGGGACCACAAATCCCAGAGTGATCTTCAGTCTTCCCTTGTAAAGACCAAGAAAAATGTCCCCAGATCCTCAAGACCAAACCATGGTAACCTGAGGCCAGAGAGGAGTGAACATTTTTAGAATTATAGGCACTTCTGCTGTCTGTAGGGTTGAGAAATTGTTATCATTGCGTAGGAGGTTTGGTGATTTATTTGAAATTCTTGGAAGGGTTGCAATAAGAGAAGTCTGACCAAAGTCTCAGAGCTGCTGACTAGCTCACTTAAAAGTATGAGATCTATTTAGCAAACCACAGGAAAATATGAGAGAAAATATTTTCTATAAAAATTGGAAATATTAAATAAAAATGTCTGTGAAGATGAAAAGTTGGTGGAATCTCACTTGATCCCTGTTTATCAAACAAAACAAAATCTTTTATTTCGATTCAATTACAGACTTCTGGGAAGTTGCAAAATTAAAAAACAGAATGCTATGTTCCTTCTTTGGGCTCACTCTCCATGGTGACTTTTTAAAGATATATGTAATTGTAGTACAATATCAAAGATAAGAGATTGACAGTAGCACATGTTAAGGTTAAATTATGTATTCCTTACATGATATCTGTTGAAGTTCCAGCCTGTCAGTACCTTACCATGTGGCCTTTTGAAATAGGGTCATTGCAGATGTCACAATCCTTCCCTAAGCCACTGTGATTGGTGTCCTTTTGATTGTGGGGAGACTGTCACCATGACAACATGGGTGGGTGTTTGAGTTATGCATTTGCAAAAAATAAGTGCCAGATCTACCAGAATCTTGGAGTTAAGGAGGGTACCAATGTACAGGTCTGGAGATGCCCAGTTTGCCAGCAAGGCTCGAGGCTCTCCAGTGGGGTGTTCCCAATGATGCCTGGCCCAGTCAGAATCATTACCATCATAAGGACTGTTTGTTCCAGCAGCATGCCTTTTCCTGGTACGTTGGCTGACTTACATGGGACATAAAGAGTGGGCTGTGGACACTTGGTCTGCACCTGTTGGAGGATGCAGGCTGTAGGCTTCTCCAATGCATTGGCTGACTTACACATGGGGTGGGGGGTGGGGAGTGGGGGGTGGGGGGAGGAAGTCCTATGTTCTACTGTGCTGTCCTTCCTCCCAAGGTCCTGAAGAAGTTGTGGGAGACTAGGCACTTCCAGAATCTTCTCGTACTTTACTTCTGTAAAATAAGAATGATACAACATTAACAGTGTCCCCACTATTGAACATCCATGGCTAATGTCCATTTCTACACTAAGACTCAGTGTTGGTCTCTGAACAATTGATCCTACCCCTCTCCCTTGATTCCAAGAACCACCAGCCCTTTCTGTCTATGAACCTGAGTCTGTTGAGAAACCCTCCGAGGTGTGGGCATTCAGTACCTGTCTTCATGGTTCACCCACATTGGAACAAGTTTCGGATTTCTTCTTTTTATAGTACTTTACAGTTGCATTACCACATTTGCTTATTTCTGTCAGTGGGCACCTTTGGCCATGCGAATGATGCTGCAGTGAACACAAGCCTGCAAATGTCTACTCGAGTCCCTGCTTTCAATTACGTTGGGTACATATCCAGAGGTGGGATTTCTGGGTCATATGGTAATGTCATATTTATTTTTGCTTGACTTTTGTGTTATAGCCAGCATTTTAATTCCGACTTTTATTAGTTGCAGTGCCAGGGATGGAACCCAGGTCTTACACATGCTTGGCAAATGCTCTACTACTGAGCTACATCCCCAGCAGCAGTCTCTGTTTAAAGTGTAGACTGACGATGGAGGTGACCTACCTTAACCCGCACAGAAACTGGGTAACTAAACCAACGGTATAAACCATTTTCCCTCAGTCGCCAGATAAGCTGTATCACATTGTAGGCTTTCCTGACATTTGCCTTCAGCACACGAGCATCCCTCTTCTTGGAGTCCTTACCTGCCTTAGACTGCCAGGAAATCACTGTGGAAAAAGATTCGTTCTTGGCTCGCTCATCAAGTGTGAATACAGGAAAATTAATTTTTTTCAGTGTGATCCCCCACTGGAACTCTTTACGTTGGTAAAATATAGTTTTGATATAAAGGCTGCAGTAGTTGCTTTTTGTTGTTGTTGTTTTCAAACAAGGGTCCATTTCTGTTATCTCATGACTCTTCACATCATCACTGACAGGATCTGTCAGAGTCATGCTGATCCACTTTGTAGATAAGAAAACAAACCTCTGAAAGGGAGGTTTAGGACATGAATTCTGAAACATCTGGTTAGGTTAGTGATATCAGGACCACTTTAGCCTGTTAGGTCACTGTGGAATAAGTTGTTGGGCCAAGAATATCTGGTTTGCATTTGAAACTCAGGGATAATTACTATTATTCAGGCCTGTTTCTTTGTGACTTATCACTGGAGGCTGTGGTGGTGTCCTGTGAGTTAATGGGAACCTGTGGGTTAGTGGGAACTAAAGTACCTTTTTCGTGAATACTGGGTGAAACCCAGAATTACTCATGGTGAGGACTGTGTGTCCAGATGGTTAGTGGGCACACAGTTCACATCCATCCATGGCCGAAGAAGGGCACATGAGAGATCCCTAGAAACTCTTGTTGATGGGTGCATGTGAGTCTCAAAGCTATCTTCTCTCCTGGGCCTGGGCTGTCTAGTAGGCCACTGGCTGACTGACTTCAGCAGATGTTCAGATGATGACTCAAAGCCACGAGCATCATGGTGTCTGATTAGGATGTCCCGAGCTCCGTGGATGCTGCTGAGGTCCAATGTTTCCCCTGGACCAACAGCCTTTCTCTGGATTGATGTCTGGTTCTTAGAGAAGGGCCTAGACATTAAGATGACTCCATGGACAGTTTTTACACTAGCATCAGCATTGTCATACACATTCTCATGAACTGTGCCAAGCAGATGAGGTAAAACATTAGCCTTCAGCTCTCAGGGACAAGTGATGTAATAGAATGGCTGTGGAGAGTTTCTACCTGGATTTCACCACTAGACATGCAGGAGGTTTGTCTGCAATGTAAGCAAGCTATGTAACACTCTTATACCCTCATCTTACTATACTGTGGGAAAATTCGGCTCTGTCTTTAAAGGCATTGCCAAAGGAATACATTAGGGTTGATGAATTTGCTGCTTTCTGCTTCCAGGTAACAGGGAAGCAATAGAGTTGGAAATTAAGTTCCTACCACAGTCTGAGGAAATTATGTGCTGCCTTGGAATGAAGAAATGGCCCCTTTTAGGCCTTTCATTTCTCATGGTTTCAGCCCCCAAGTGCTTCCATAATATTCTACAGGGAGGTCAAACCTTTCTCCTGGAAATGGGGGAGCTGGCACATGGATGCACAGACTTTGCATTAGTGGATGGCTTTGGTTTCCTGAAGTGGCACTCCCACACTTGGTGGAATGGCCTCAGCTCATGAGGAGGTTCCGGGATTCCATGTCTTTCCATCCTCCATCCTGAGTTTGTACCAGTAACTATTCAACTCATTTTGTTCCTCCAGTCTGAAATTTACAAGCATTCTGAAGAGACGTTTCCCCTGAGTTGTCACTTAGCAGGAATGTCAGAAATCACCTGCAGTGCACAGTGGACAATTGCCATCCAGACTCATGGTGAGATGGCGTCTGCTTCTTTTTCTCCTGAACAATAGAATGTAGTCACCCATCATCCAGCCTCCTGGTGGGGTAGAGTCTACTTCCTCTCCTCTGTAACAATAGAATGTATCCAATTTGCCTGAAATAGAATTGTCTGTTTCCAGCTTGTGGAAGCTGCTCCTGTTTAGGAGCCTCAACATCCTGATGGAGAAGGGTGACTGGTGAGCCAGAGGTCATGCTAGCAGCCCAGCGGGGTCTCCCAGAGTTAGGAAAGCTGCCATAAACCCAAGCGGACCCCACAAAGCAATCACCATGCCTCAGTAACAGCTGCCTGTCCCCACAGTGTGGCCCCCACTATAGGCTTCTGAGCAGATGATGCTAATCATGCATGTTGGACCACTTACTGATTTCTCCAGTGCTGGGAGCTGGTAGAAGCCCACATGTGGGGATATGCAGGGGGAGGGGTGATGGCTTGCTTGTTCTATGTCTTTCTAGCCTGAGAAGGAATAAACTAGCAAAGAATTGAATACATGTACTTTTCCTCTGTTTGCTTTAACAAATTTAGCAAAGGCAGACTTGGAGGCTTACTACAATTATCTCTTAGTTTAATAGGTCAGAGGACCAAACAGGTCTCAGTGGGCTGAGGTCTGGGTGTCGCAAGGGAGGGTAGCTTCTTCCTGAGGTTTCAGGGGACATGTCTTTACTCCCTCCAGCACTCCCCCCTCAAACCCCTGCATCTTTGTTGCCTGTCCCTTGTTCCACTTCCAGGTGCTAGCGGGTGTCTGACCTTCAGATCTCTTTCTTCCTTTCCCAGGCATCCTCTTTCCACTCATGGGGACACTGCCAGGCCAGGCCAGTCGCTTGTAAAGAATATTGTGTTGTGTGAGGAAACGTGCTTATATGAAATGGGGTTTAAAACCTGGGTGTGGACATCTTCAGGTTCATTGGAAGTCCTACTGTGCTTCTTGGATTCTCCATAAGCTGGTCGCCCCTTTCTGACCTGCTCCACGCCCCTGTTTCATGTACTTCCTTCAGTAGAGGCTGAGGTCTTTGCTTTCTGGCTGCTGGCTAGGGCTGTGGATTCTTTTAATAGATGCCATCTCTTATCCTTCTGGCCTTTGGGACTGTGATGGATAACTTCAGGGTAGTTTTGGTTTGCTGGGATGAATTCCATGGTACTCCTCCCTGTCTTTCGATGCTTCTCTTACAGAATGGGAGCATGAACTCCCACAGTTTTAAGGATGCAGAATGCAGCTTCCTGTGTGCATTAGCATCCAGTTGACTTTACTATAATATACCATGCCTTCGGTCTAGATGGCTTGATTTTGCAAGGGTCCCTTCTCTTTCAGGGTAGGAGTCT